TTTCTGTGGGCGGGAGGAATGATTGGAACAAAGTCAATCCAAGAGGACGTCTGGATCCTCTCCGCCGAAGTGGGCAATGATCTCCTTGTGTCATTGAGCCACTGAGCTCAAATGTATTCTCAATATTCTTCCACAAACAAAGGGCCTGTCATCCCACACTCCCACACCATGTTTCTCTAATTATGTTGTTTGTTTTGGCAAGTGGTCTGAATTGAATCCAACATGTCCAATAAACAATTCCACAAAACTTTTTGGCACATGGTTCCTGTGTAATCAGCGAATTATTTTCTTGCCAACCCATGTTCCACCATCTGCCCATCCACATCTCGACACTACAATGCCAGGGTTGTTCTGGCCCCTCTTGGGCACCGGGCACTGCGCCCGGGAAGACCCTAAAGCGCCCTTCTTGCCGCGGTTCCGGCCACACAGCCCGAAGAAGCAACCTGGCCGCATTCTGGCAAGTGGCAGTCGTCAGCCGGGGCAGTTTCAGCATGACTTCAATGTTTCACCCCTGGTTTTGACGAGTTTGGGAACACATAAATTTTCTCGAGAAATTGGCTCAAAGGAAAAGACCTTGCACTGTTAAATGCCAACTCCTGGTGCTTCCAAACGTGACGGGCAAGGCGTGGCTGCTTCTGTGGACTTGGGCAGTCCGCGACCTGGAGATCGCAAGAAGGCGGCTAAGAAGCTGCTTCAAGAAAACATCTGCATCATCTCAGAGGTGAAACAGGCCGGCTGCTCGCTGTGTGCGCTTGCGGGAGTGTGAGTCACTGTTCCCAACAACAGCAACTGTGTTGAGATGAGTTCATGGATCTAATCTTCACGAGTTCGCTGTGCAGGTGTGGCTTGTGTGGCTCCAGGATGCTGCCTGGGCGTCAATTTTGCTTGGATGCTTTATCACTAGTAGGTTGGGATTTCTCAACTCCGTAAGCACCCCAGGGACTGCAGTGAGAGGCACCCCAAAACCTTCCCTCACCTCTGTCACTTCCCGCCTGTGCAGCCGGGATCAGTTCAAAGGTGCCATTGGGTCCTGCAAACGTTGCTGTGTGGAGGGCCCTGAGCCCCGAGGGTACTAGTTCAAAAGCAATGGAAGATTGATCCTTGACCCAAATGATTTGCCAAGAACCCCCTTCCTCCAATCATTGCTTGCAAGATGTTGAACCCCGGCCGAATCGCACCAAAATGAACCCTGGTGTGGCCTGAAAACATCCGCAAACTCTGGAAACTGAAACCCAAGGCACCCAAATCAACTAACATCAGCTAGCAAACATTGAGCCTTGTAGCAAACAACAACAACAAAAAACACACAACGTCCTGGTGGCCCACCCATTGCCTCAGGATGGCAACCGCACTGACATGATCTGGTGAATCAAACCCCACCTACAGAGATCTAAAGATCAGATGCAAGGTCTCACCTGTCTGAACTTCTACTTGCTCCTTGAAAGATCTCTTGGGGTGAGTGATACATGGTCAAGCGTCATCAGTTATATAAATGTATTTAAATATATTAGCACTAGACAAGAGTTGTTAACAAGCTGTTACACAACAACAGATTGCTGTACACTTCACTACACGGTTCGATAGTGCTCGATAGACACGACAATTTGGGTCCTGTGAAACGATTTGCATAAAGGATTCTACCCAACACTCTCATGGTTCAACAGGTTTGAGCAGACTCGATAATCCTTTGCAGGAGCTTCAGACTAGATGGCAAACCCTATCACATATCTCAAGGGGTTCCGCAACTGCCATCGCTTGTTGCCCAATCTTACCGCACAGCGCACCGTAGCGCACCATGCCAATCTTTGCATAATTGGTCAAAACTGTCCCAATCCAACCCTTTGTTTTAGAACAATCTGCCTGTTTCATCTGCCTGTTTCATTGCTTGGCTGCCCACCACTGTTTCAACAAACCGATTACTCTGCTCCCCCGGAAGTATCATCTATGATCATCTATGCACATGGTTAATCTCGATGATGATCAAGTGACTTTGAAGCAACAACGCGAGCCCTTCATGGTCTTTGATCCGCAACCCAATTAGATGTTCTCGCACACTTGCAACACCTTGAAACATTCTCAGGAGATGTTCGAAGAACAGAATCATTAAAAGCAAACAAATCCAGTTGCCAGTTGGGTCACATATGGTCATATTATATCTTTCCTGGGTCAATGCCTTGACACATGCCTTTCACACACCTCCAGGTTAAAATTGTATTCAGCTCCTCCTCTTGAAATGACCAAATTGGGCTTGCAACATTCCGCAGTGGCACATCTGAACATGCACATCTGCACATACGATCTCAATAGCGTGAATCAAGCAGAAGTCATCACGAAAGCTTGTCATGGCCCACAGGCACATCTTTGAAGTGGCAGGACCCTCACCCTGGCTTCTTGCCGTGAAACGAAGACATCCTGCACCATCTGTAATAGGGAACACATTGGAAATTGAAAACAACGCTTATATCATATTTGGGATGCTTCAGTGATTCCAGATGGTGTAGGATTCCATCGGTCTTGCAAATTGTGCCAAGGCTCACTGGGCCTTTTTCTCGAAACATCAGAATACTGGAAGTGAAGAATCAGTTTGGGACATGGATGTCCATGGATTTCCCAAACTGATTCGCTGTTCCTTGGCTCGCACACCGCACCGCACAACTCGGAGTGACAGTTCTGAGTTCACGCCACAGCCGCATTGGCAGCGGGCACGCGCCGCACATTCAGGTGTCGGAAGATCGCACCTTGAAATGCACATATCATTTGTGCAAGAGGTTGTTTTCTTACAAGGACTAGACACTATGTATCTATAGATAGATAGATAACAGAATAAATAATATATATAATATATCTTATCTACTGTACAAAACAGTAAATGCATCACCGAGTGAACCACATATGACATCATATGACAATGATATTTCGCACCCAAAATAGATCGAGCCTTGCATTCCACAGTCATTAAAGACTCAGAGTGAGGGACAAAGACTTCAAACAACTTCCAAGACAAAACATGGTACTGGACAAGCATACATGGCAGGGAAGCTGCCGACCACACTTGCAACACCTTGAAACATTCTCAGGAGATGTTCGAAGAACAGAATCATTAAAAGCAAACAAATCCAGTTGCCAGTTGGGTCACATATGGTCATATTACATCTTTCCTGGGTCAATGCCTTGACACATGCCTTTCACACATCTCCAGGTTAAAATTGTATTCAGCTCCTCCTCTTGAAATGACCAAATTGGGCTTGCAACATTCCGCAGTGGCATATCTGAACATGCACATCTGCACATACGATCTCAATAGCGTGAATCCAGGAGAAGTCATCACGAAAGCTTGTCACGGCCCACAGGCACATCTTTGAAGTGGCATGACCCTCACCCTGGCTTTTTGCCGTGAAACGAAGATATCCTGCACCATCTATAACACTGGGCCTTTTTCTTGACCACTAGCGGGTCCAGGAGATGCGATTGTCTTTGAAGTCTTGCAGCAATCCCTGACCCTCGTCGGTCTCCATTTTCTTAAACTAAGCTGCATCCCGACCCTGTGGTCCTTTGTGGTCACGGCACCAGCAAGTGTGAAAAGGTTCACTGGCAATAGACCTAATAAAGGAAACATCAGAATACTGGAAGTGAAGAATCAGTTTGGGACATGGATGTCCATGGATTTCCCAAACTGATTCGCTATTCCTTGGCTCGCACACCGCACCGCACAACTCGGAGTGACAGTTCTGAGTTCACGCCACAGCCGCATTGGCAGCGGGCACGCGCCGCACATTCAGGTGTCGGAAGATCGCACCTTGAAATGCACATATCATTTGTGCAAGAGGTTGTTTTCTTACAAGGACTAGAAATTATGTATCTATAGATAGATAGATAGATAGATAGATAGATAGATAGGTAGATAGATAGGTAGATAGATAGATAGATATGGTAAACACGTATATCTATGGAAATTATCTACATGCGGTTCAGCATAGCCACGTAGTCGTATCAAGGACTCATAATAACTCTAAACTCCTCCATCCAAATACTTTAATTTCAACATGCAATCAGAATGTCCATTGTCCATCTCTTTCCCCCACGGCGTTTGGCCGTATTTCGCCCTGGCCTTCCAACAGGCTCAGAGGTTTGGAGGTTTATGGACTTGCAATCCGGCAAAGGGGTGATTTTCCTAACATGAAGCGATTACGACTCACTCACATGTTCTGTAACTTTGCTCATTCTTATGAGAATGAGACTGCTGTACTTGAAATTAGCGCACCAAAAGCCACAACATTCTTGCGGCAGCGAATTTCTCCTTCACGGTCATTACATGGACTCACTTGCTTCTCCACCCACTTCACGGCGCAAGTCGGTCAAGACCTTCTTTAAGAGCATGGGGAAGTGTCCAGTCAGCTTGGAACAAAGCAGATTCACAAGAGCTGCAAAAGGCATGCGCCCTAGCGTGTTGGCAATCTTCCGTGGTGGAGCCTCTCGGGTGCCTTGCCGACGAAAGGGGCTAAAGCGGCTGAAGGAACGACAACAGCGGCCTGTTGGTTGCTGCTGTTGTTCTTGTTGGGGTTGTTGTTGGTGTTGTTGTGGTTGTCGTTGCACAAAGATCGAAGTCCGGATCAGCTGATCATACCACATCATACAACAACAGGGTGTTCATGAATTTTCCCCGTTCAACTGTCATTTTCTGCGATCCACCGAGATCTACACGCCAAGAATAAAACACAGTTGCAAGCCTGGGTGGCGATGGGCTGAGATGGCAAGCTCGCGGTCAATGAGCTCAAGAAGGACCGCTGCGCTTGGATGATTCACGGCTTCCACAGCCTTCTCCAAGAAGGGATGAACGACTTCCTAGGCGCAGCTAGCCTAGTCGCCTAGCCGATCGTCGCCTAGTCCTTCTGAATTCTGCAGAAGCTATGTGAAGGATGCAAAAGACTTTTCTGCTCATGTGTTGAACATGCACATACACATACTGAAGTCACTGGATACTATGATGAGTATACACACTGCGATGATCTTTTACCCACTGATACAGTGAATAGGATAGACCCAAACTACACTTGCATCATGCATACACTGGAAGGCAAGGACAGTATACTCTGTACCTTTTGTTTGCTTCAAGCTTCAAGCAACCTTGCCTTTGACCAGCTTGCAATCATAGCCCGTTGCCGCTTATCAAAGGAAGCACTTGTATGCTGTTGCCGTGAATGGCAAAAACCACAATCTGCACCCTGGCACAGGGCGAAGGAATGGGGTGAATAGTGAACAAAAGTCACCAAAGCACTAAGTAGAAGATTTGGCAAACAGCAGGGCACCTAGTGACCTAGTGTCGCCATCAATTTGTCTCACCGCAATATCACGGAGCCTAACCCGGAAATCTCAACAAACCAGATCGCGACCAAATGCACAGCCTCTCACAGCCTACAGTGCCTACCGCCACTCTCTTTGCTTGACACGATCGTCTGTCATGGCCTTCTCACAACTCCCCCGCAAAAGGAGGAT